ACGAGGGCGCACGTACGCGTTTTGTTTTATTTTTTTTCGTATCACCAACATTGTGGGCCTCAATGTGACCATCGATAAGGATGAAAATCGGCTAGAACACTTGTTCATATAAAATAAACTCTACGTTTACCTAACTACACGCATTGTAATCCGTATTGTCTTCGTCGCATAAGGGTATGGTGGCCTAACCCCTCGGGCTCAACTCCCCCGTAGCGGTAATTTAGACGAGCGGGCGAACGGCTCTTGGCTGCCGAAGGAAACGTCTAACTCTAGCGGCCCGACACTACTCTGGCTCTCAGGGTAGAAAATGGAGAGCTTGCCACAATATCTTATATCGGCAAGAGATTTGCTCGTGTAAACGTATCTACATTTAATACATGTAAACTACATTGTACGTTGAAATATTGAAACAACGATGTTAACATAAAAGTCTAACATAAAACTATGTAGAATCCACTAGATATACACATTTGCCAGATGCAGGGGGGGGGGGTAATTTAACTCAAAATTAGGCGTAAACACTGAAGCTCAGCTAACAGGACCATCATTGTATTCACACACACGGTCCCACAGAAGAAGTAACCTTCAGCCGTATGATATATGACATACATATACATATACCTGGCCTGGTTGTGTCGTTCCTTTACCCGGTCAATTAAATCAAAATGTCGCCTTGTCTTTCGTAAACAGGAACAAACATGTACATGTAAATTTTCCCCGGTAACGAATTAGAATGAATGGACCTTTTCATGTTGGTGGGATATGATTGGTGAAATATGTTCAGGGGTAATATATGTAAGGCAATTGCAAGAAATACCTGAGCCAGACAAGTTGATGTTGCTATAAACTTGTAATAGTTTTATGCCATAGCTGGGCTACGATATACGATAACGTACGATATAGGTTTCTGGCCCATGTGATAACTACCCATATCACACATGCCATTTGGTTAACACACGGGCTTTATAGAATAATAATGTTAGAATTGACGCTGCTACAACTTTTTGTAAAGGGACACCAACTTTTCTCAATATTAAGCACATTTCGCATTGTGAAGACTGGGTTTACAGGTAACTTCTTTTGGTTTAGGGAGGAGCCAATGCTACTTCTCAAAATCAGGAAGAACATCTAGAAAAAATCCCATATTAACAAACATCACTTATTTTAAAATACATTTCGACACAATTTGGTATAAAAAAAGAGCACTTGATGGTGACACATTTGCATGTAGCATTTAGGGAGCATTTTTTTTTTCGTTTACTCATTTGACCGGATACAACATATCACAAAGGCTGTTTTCGAAGTGCTCAGGAGGGCAAGCAAACAAAAAACCCATCACACAATAAGAATACAACATAAAGTAAATGCCGAATGAACACACGTGTGTACAACTAAGGAGAAAATTAAAGGTAACTTAATCGTAAGCAGGAACTTTGCATAACAGGGGAATTAATGGTCCAAACTAGGCATTAAGAGACAAACCATCAGATAAATAAGTGAAGAGAGGATTTTGCACATCCATGTACAATTGGAAGGCAGTCTTGTTTGTATATTTGTTTGAAACGTGAGAGAGTATACTGATTTCAGGTTAGATAGTAAATTGTTCCAGAGAATCACCTCAGAGTACGAGTAAGCGTTCTGTACTCCAGTTGAAATTTTGGAACAGTGACTGAAGTCCTTCTTGTGGCCGAGTCGGGTGCTTTGTGTATGTACCTCAGATAATAACTAAGTGAATAATGCAGTGAGGTAGCATGGGAGAGCCTTATAGACATGTGTTGCCTTGAGTTTTGCAGTTTTTTTTTTTTTATATTTCACTCACTAGTAGCCATCCAAGTGTCTTAAGTATGACTGAAGTAGCTGTGTAGCGATCATAGCCTAGTATTGTGGGACCTGCTTTACCTTTCTGGAGTTTGTCCCGATGTGTCCATTTCCTCCCTGGTCCCATATTGTACTACAATAGTATATGTGGGGTAAGAAATGCTAGTGTTTATCTATTGCAATGATTGTCTATCACCTGCACTTAGTCTAGTTTCTTGTTAATGATGAAAGTGTTTGCTTCTTTTCAGTGCATTGTCAATGATGACCCCTGGATACATGCGTTTACTTGCCCAAGTCTGGTTCCACCTATATTGAGATACAGGTTGGCTTTTGTAACATTCACTCTTGAATAGCCCACCAGATTTATTTGCATTTAGTTGGGCTTAACAAAAGTTAGATTGTGGAAGAGCACAGGGAAACTTTGATGAAATCACTTTGGATAGATCCTTAACAGTTTGGAACACTTTGCCACATGAGGTACAAGCAGCAACTAAGAGTAGGTTTAGGCAGGAGTTGTTAGAGCACATGCGTACATAGGCACATGATGATAGGCACATGTGATGTTATTTTTAAATGTTAAGTCTAATGTTGTATGTAAATAATGTTGTAATTTTGATGTGGTGTATTTGTATTATTGTATTTTAACTCCAGGAAGATTAGCTACATACTTGATTTTGTATGTCTTGTGTGTCGCTAATGGAGTTTAATAAAGCACACATAAAGCACACATAGTATGCCTGATTGTATATAAAGACTGCGGGTTGAAAAGTATATTATGGTGTCGTAAGCGTACATATGACAACTTGGCAGTATCTTGCATACCCCAGGTAGAAGGCACCGGTCTATAGTTGTTGGATTTTGTTGTTCCCCTTTTAGTGTATTGGCATTACTTAAGTGTATTGGCATTACTTTCGATTGTTTCCATCTCTTGGGGAATTCGCCCATACTCAGTGACTTGTGTGTGTGTGTGGGTGGGGGGTGGGT